CCGCAGCTTCTTTACGTGGAGTGATATAAATATTTCCAATTTGAATATCATCTTCTTCCAATGAAAGCTTGAGTCTAAAACAATACAAAATTACATGACAATATAAGAATAATAGGAGACGTGATGCATAACGATCGATAAAACGAACATGAAATAAAAATGTATTTTTTGTTATGGAAATCTGAAACTGAATTGCCAATTATGGGAATCGATAACATGCTAGTAAGAGTAGACACATAATAATATTCAATTTACTTACCCACCGTGCCTTGTATTGTATAATCCTGGATCCATCACTTTTCATATATATTTTTCAGTTATCTAAGAGACTCAATAAAAGTTACAGTACGTATCACTTCTTCCTTCCTTCCTTCTTTGTACAGGGCGTCACGACCCCCTGTGGATGGGCTCAACCTTTTCGGTTAGTTAGTTAGTTATAAATTTAGTTTAATTGCTTTTTGATAAGAGGCTACAAGTAATGCAGTGTAAGCTGTAGGGTTTGAAAGCAGGTCTTCTAAGGCTAAAGCAGAGTGAGTTGGTGTGTTATGCCTAGCAATCATTTTTACATATAGGATGTGGGCATTAGCTGTGTGATTGGGGCATTCTAGCAGGATGTGCTGGATGTTACCATAAGCACCACATTCACACAGAGGGGTGGAAGCTGTGTGTCTGGTTATGCTTTCTTTATAGAACCATGGTTTATTTGGAAACTTTCCCATAAGGTTAAATAGCGTTCATTACTCGTTCCATATTTCATAGATTTTCTTCCTCACTCTTGGTAATAAATCCCTATAATCTACCACTTCGTAGTCAACACTTGGCTTGAGGGTACCTTGTTTAGCAAGGTTGTCTGCTATGTTATTCCCCGGAATGTTCTGCTGATGGATTGTTACCCTTTTTGGGGGGCACTTAATGAGTCGGTGAGAATGAGGGGAATATTGATTTTTCCATCACAAATTTTCTTAGCTGCTGTTTCGATCCCTAGCATATCTGCAGAGCAGATTGGGGAGTCGTCCGCTATCCGAATTTTGATGTTGCAGTTTTCCCTGGGAATATGGACGGCAGAAGACTTTCGAAGTACATGGGTCGGACGAACCATCAGTGAATAAAAGGGTGTTCGACGTAAACGTTTCTTTGATTATTCTGTTGTATTCGAAGTTCCTCAATTGTAAACGGGGGGCTATTTGAAGCGTTATTATTAGAAATGAATGTTTTCTGAGGTACTCTTGGAAAGGCAATGTGCCTCAGAAAGTTTTCTGAATTATCCTTGATGAAAGATGAATTGTGGGAGTGGGAAGCATGTTTATTGTTTTTGAACATTCTTATTTTTTTCTATACATCAGCTATGTTGGAGTCCCTGCTGATCGTTTCGCAGAAAGTAATGAAACTAGTTTTTTTTTAATCTTTTCTTTGTGGTTGCTATTACTCTTTTCATATTGTAAAAATTTTCTTCTGACGGATCGTTTCTGTAACTTCTGATGGACGCCTTCCTCTCCACTATTGCCTGAGAGCAATCCTCATCCCACCATATGGTAGGGGGCCTACTCCCAGTGCTAGTTTGAGAGCTAGTGTCTTTAAATTTGAGGATAGAATGCTTGGTTTATCATGTCTGACAAGGTGTAATTATTAATATGGCCGTCAGGTTGAATTTGGTCATCAATCAGGGAAGAGTAAAGCGTCCAATCAGCCTTTCTAAAGTTGTAGCTATTTTTAAGTTTGTTGTTGTAATTTTGCCTAACTTTTGGAAAGTTTTTGACTGAAATGAGATATTGAATGCAATTGGATGTTTCTGGATCTGTCACTCAGAATCGCCAATGAACTATCTAAACTGAGGTCAGAGGAACAAAAATTAAGGTCGGGAGCGCTTATATTATGTCCTGGCAGGCCAAGTCTTGTTGCCGAACCATCATTTAAACAAACCAATTGATTTTCAAGCATCATATCTACAATGATATTCCCGTTATGATCATCAGTTATTGAGCCCCATATCATATTTTTAGAATTGAAATCCCCTCCCAGAATTATTCTGGAGTTTGCTCTATGCTCTTGTTCATGCCTTGCACAACATTTTCAATTAGTAAAATTACAAGCAAAATCAGATAGGTATCTAGATTGATCCAAAATCGAGATGAGACCTGACCATACTATTATATATAATAGTGAGAATTTTGGGGTCTGCCCCCCACCAAACTCTAGTTAGGGATTTCATTATGTCCACCCCTCTCAAGGCCTTGGATCATGATTTGTTGATGTGGAGTGTAAGTTTCATAATGTAATCAAAAGTTACTCCCAAATATTTAAACGAATTCTTCCTCAAAATGTCTTCATCATTACATTTGATAGGGGGCATACTCCTGAGATTTCTCTTTATTTGAAATACTATGGTTTCTGATTTGTTTGTGGCCACTCCGAAGCCATGAAGATTGACCCAATCCGATAACCTATCTAAAGATGAATTTATGTGCATACCCTCGTGCATACCCATGCTGGATAGATCGTTTCCTGATACAACTAAAGCTATATCGTCTGCGTAGACGTGATTTCCGTGATTTCTTGAATTGAATTGACATAGATGTTAAATAGTAATGGGCTACGAGGGGAACCCTGCGGGACCCCTGCCTTGACCTGACCCATACCTGAGCTTTCGCTGGAATGGCAGTCTCTGATGACTACCCTTCTGGTGGAGTAAAAGAGGTCAATTAGATTGATTATATCTTGCTTTATGCCGAATCTTGAAAGTTTGTTGAGTAATAAAGGAATCAGAACGTTATCGTACGCAGCTGTTACGTCCAGAAACACCGCTATCACTGAGTCATTTTTGTTGAATGAATGGACAATTTTTGAAGTGAGTCATACTAAGTTTTCATTTATTCCTTTACCCTTGCGAAAACCTGTTTGTAGGGGATGGAGCCAGTTTGACCTTTCCAATTCGTATTCCAATCTGTTTTTCAGCAGGGCCCCCAACACTTTCCCTAAGCATGGTGCCAATGCAATGTACCTGTAGTTCCTTATCAATTATAGATCCCTCCCTTGTTTGGGAATTTGGGTGATAATTTGTGTTTTCCATTCAGTAGGTACGTCTCCATTTCCTTTCAAAATATCATTGTACATGCCTACCATTTTTGATATTACCATTTTGACAAATGGGTGATTTGGGTGTAGGTGATATTATCTATTCCCGGGGCTGAATTCTTTTTCCTCTTAGCCTGAATGACTATTCGAAGTTCCTCAATTGTAAAGTGGGGGCTAGTTGAAGCGTTATTATTAGAAATGAATGTTTCCTGAGGTACTCTTGGAAAAGCAATGTGCCTCATAAAGTTTTCTGAACTATCCTTGATGAAAGATGAACTGTGGGAGTGGGAAGCATGTTTATTGTTTTTGAACATTTGTATTTTTTTCTTTAAATCAGCTATGTTGGAGTCCGTGCTGAGCGTTTCGCAGAAAGTAATGAAACTAGTTTTTTTTTTATCTTTTCTTCGTGTTTGCTATTACTCTTTTCATATTGTAAAAACTTTCTTCTGACGGATCGTTTCTGTAACTTCTGATGGACGCCTTCCTCTCCACTATTGCCTGGGAGCAATTCTCATCCCACCATATGATAGGGGGCCTACTCCCAGTGCTAGTTTGAGAGCTATTGTCTTTAAATTCGAGGATATAAATTTTTAATGCTGACAAGGTGTAATAATCAATATGGCCGTCTGGTTGAATTTGGTCATCAATCAGGGAAGAGTAAATCGTCCAATCAGCCTTTCTAAAGTTGTGGCTATTTTTAAGTTTGTTGTTGTAATTTTGCCTAACTTTTGGAAAGTTGTTGACTGAAATGATAATTGGGAAATGGTCACTGTTTCCACTGTCACTCAGGTTCGCCAATGAACTATCTAAACTGAGGACAGAGGAACAAAAAGTAAGGTCGGGAGCGCTTATATTCTGTCCTGGCAGGCCAAGTCTTGTTGCCGAACCATCATTTAAACAAACCAATTGATTTTCAAGCATCATATCTACAATGATATTCCCTTATGATCATTAGTTATTGAGCCCCATATCATATTTTTAGAATTGAAATCCCCTCCCAGAATCATTTTGGAGTTTGAGTTCTAGTTAGAAATATCGTTTAGGAAGTTTTTATTCAGTCTAGAGTTTGGAGAATTGTACATCTTAATAATTGCCAAGTTTTTAACAAGCAAACCGAGGCATTGAGTCTCAGGGGGTTCATTCTTAGGTTAAGATCAATCTGGGAGACCATAATGGATTTTCTTACAAGCGAAGCAATTCCATGATTCCCTTTTGTTTCGTCTTCCCTATAAACGTTAAATTTTGTAAAGTTGCATCTCGCAGCAGGTTTTAGTAGTGTTTCTTGCAGTAAAACAATGTCTGGATCGTTCTCTTGTATGATCAGGTCAAGGTTTGTACTCTTAGTGTTGACACTTCTAATGTTCCATTGCAAAATTGTGAGACTATTCGTCATATACAATAAAATGAATATATCCAAAATCCTGTATTTCTTGCAGTATATCCAACTATTCCTTATCCTTATGTCCTATCTGTATTCCTTTTTTTCTATTTTCTTTTCAATTTCTTTTTATTTTTTTAATCATTATCATGAATATATATATTTTTTTAATTTATTGATTCTTGACAGGTAGGAATTAAAAGGTTTCCATGTCAGAATCCTTTGAACCCCCACTCTGCCACCTGTGTAATTGTTTTGTATTTGGAGTAGAGATGGGTGAAGGGGCTACTGAAACCAGCCCGCTTTTCAGTGTTTGTTTGTGAGTAAGCTAGCAAATCCTCATCTGAAATGTTATCTCTAGCTAGAAAATCGTCCATCTGGACTTTGTTGACTTCCTTTGTGGTATTATCTACGCCCTTACCTGTCTCCATTGACCGAGATGCAGAAGGTAGGATGGGAGTAATAGGGGTTCTGGTTGTCTGAGGAAACAGACATGCCTCCACAGCTGCCTTATCATATCCCTGTGCGTTTTTTTCAAGTCAGCACTGATTTATATGAAGGTGACCAAATTGGCTGCCATTCGCAGTCTCCTCCCGCTTTCGTTTATTATCTGACTGAATTCGTTGTCTGGCTGTCGAAGAGGTGAACAGTTTGTGTTGTCCACTATCTGTGTATACGGGCCTTCTCTGCCACTAGTGCCACTTGGACATTTCTTGGAAGCCTCGTAATAGGTTAGATTGTCACAGCTCATAATTTCGTTTATCTTTTGCTGCCTGATAAACTCTGAGCTTTTTTTTTTTGGGTCTTCTGTCGGTGACCAGATGACCCTCTCGACATATAAACACCTTGCTTCTCCTACTGGACAGTTCTCCATTGAGTGTTCATTTTTTCCGCATTTTACACACCTTTCTCTGCTTCTACACATGTTTTTTGAGTGATTGAATCTGAAACATTTCGCACAGAGCATTATTGATTTGATGTATGTCTTAACTTCTAGCTTATTGTTGTAGATGGATACGTACTTCGGAAAGGACTTGCCTTCGAAGGTAAAAATAAATGTGCCAGTAGGGCCGTAAGACACTTCTTTGGATACTCTATCTACTATTCTTCCAGTCAGTCTCCTCACCTCCAGGATTTTTCTGTTATTAACAAGTTCCTCATTGGCAATTTTTAGTACCTCATCTTCAGTAATTCTTGTACCAAGATCTCTCACTACTCCTCTGCATGTTGTCAGCGATAGGGGAATAAATGTTTCATATTCCAAATTCTTCAATAGTTGATTCTTGTTAGAGTCATTGGCGAGTTTCATGGTAGAGAATGTGATACCCACTCTGTTAATCCCTTTTCGTTCAATTTGCTTGATTCCTTTGTATCCATTGTCGTAAAGCAGCTTGCCGAATTCAACCGGATGTAAGATTCCTAAGTTTTCGTCGTTTCCTTTATCCCCCCGGGGTCAATTGGACTCCCCGTGTCCTCGCCCATTTTTCACAGTTAGGTTAGGATCTCAGAAGTTAGGGATTCTTGCACCACTGCTCAAAAATATTAAGGCGCAATTATAGCTTATGCGATAATTAATAGTAATTGAGCTATGTACTTGAGCATTTTTAGTAGATGATTTGGAATTTCGACTCGAAACTTTCAACCCGGAGAAAAGAATTTTCTCGTCTTTGACGGAATCCTATTTCAACTGACTAATCAAATCTACAGTTCATATCATTACTAAGCCTAATCTCCAATTATATATCCCTGTCAAGAAAAACACCTGATTATTGCAAAAGAACTCGGTGATAACAAGAAAAATATGGATGTTTTATAAAACGAACGTTATACCCAACCATAAATAGTTTGAAGTTCGAATTGCGAGACGAATTGTATTCGATGCGATTACATTTTATTTGAGTAGTTCTGATCACCATAAAACACAGGGTGTCTGAAAAAATTAATCATTATTCTTTTGGAATATCCGATAAAAAAATGCTAGCACTATGGTATTTCTGGGATGAACTGATGATATATTATTATTGAGGAATACTTCAATCATATCTGTACCGAATTTCGTCATTCAAATATACAGGGTGATTTATGAGGATGATACAATACAGGGTGTCCCATTTGAAAATCAAAAGTTCGGGTCGTTTCCGGTGAAACTGGAAGTGATAGAAAAAAAATTGTTTCATCAATTATAGAACAATTTGGTATACTTGCTACCCACCAATTTTCAAAACACTATCTAGAATAATTCAAATGTTACAATCCTGGCCGTTTTATGTGCACTTCTCTTTATATATGAAAACAATTTTTGGCCATCCATAACGAAGATTATTATGTAAAATTGCCATATAACTTTGATAGCCGATATTTCGGAATGATTCATCGTAATTGGCTGAAAGTTGTCTCGAAAAATTTCATCAGATTCAGAAAGATCAGATAAAATGCCATAAGAACCGCTCTTCAATTTGCACGGCATACTTTGCCCAATTCAATGAAAAAATATGGAACAAGAATTGATAACTCTTAACTTTTAACTGGATTCATGTAAATTGATTTTACACACATTTTTGTTGGATAGAAAATGACAAAAGAGAGTAGCTCTGCATTTTTAATAATTTGAAATGTTAGTTTTTGATCAAAATTCTAGATAGATATGATTAGTCGGGACTCTATTTTATAAATTTGTTACGAAGTAGGCCCTGTTTTTATTTTATGATGTGACGTGGCGTTTCTTGATAGGTAATCGAAATATTCTTGCACTGAAGATGCCACTTCATATTTCAAATGCTGAACAAGCGGAAAATTCAAATGCTGCAAAGTTACTAATACGATAGAAGATTTCCAGACCCAAGAATACGTAGCAGTAAAACGGGGGTGAACGTTAGGAATATTGAAAAAATAGCAAATGCATTCTTATATCACTTGCAGAAGTGTATCAAGAACACAAAATGAAGCTCAGTTCACGCGTGATGGCATAAATAATTTAATAAATCACCATATGGGCACATGAAAATCCCCATGCTGTGATAGTATCAGTTGGTACCTATCAGTTCGGATTATCAACAAACGCCACGTCACGTCACGTCAAGTCACGTCACGTCAAGTCACGTCACACAATGAGAAACAGGGCCAAGATATTTCATTATCATTTCAATTACATTCCATAAAACAAAGACACGAATAATTATATCTATGTGGAATTAAGATGAAAAAAATAACATGTTTTTATCTCAAGTACTCTTTGGTCAATTTCTATCCAATGAAAATGTTCCAGAAATCAATAAACATGAACCCAGTTGAAAGTTAGAATTATTAGCCTGGTCGAAATTAAATTTCATTCGAACGAATTTGTTTCATAATTTTTTATTGAACCGGTCCAAGTGTGCCGTGCAAATTGAAAAGCACTACCTATGGCATTTTGTCTGATCTTTCTGAACCTGATGCTTTTTTTCGAGATAAGTGATCACAAAGTGAAATTTTTTGACATAATAATAGAACATGAATTGTCTCCAGTCCGGATCTGTATTTCATTTTTCGAACTTTGCCATCTCAAATAGTTTCAGTAGAGAAACGTCGCTGCCAAATTTCAGCCAATTACAATGAATCATCTCTCAAATATCGGATTTCAGAGGATTTTCATGCTCGACGTGGCAAATAGCCAGGAAAGTAATTGTTTTCTGTTGAATATTCAGAATGATATTATGTGCATATAAGTATCTGAAGGAGAATGGAAATTCTCAACTTCAGAAGATTTTGTTTTCAAATTTTCATCTTGTGTGTTCAATAGATATAATTCAATGGTTGTCGTTGCAAATAACCAGGAAAGTATTTGTTGTTGATATTCTCATAATATAGATAATGATTCTCAATGTATGTATTCTAAATATATTTTCATATATATATATCCATTGTTTTATGTTCATAATTTTATCTGAGAATATTCCTTTCCATAAGAAGTGTATTGGTAAGCGCACTCTAAAGGTCACAGTGAGAAGGTGTCCTTACTCGGGTTCCGCATCCCAGAAAAAACCCTGCTTCCAATTTTCGAACTAATTTGTTTGAAAATGTACATTGATTATGTTGAAAACTTCAATTTTCATTTTCTAACTTTACCACCCTGTATCTGGGCAACGGAAACAGCAATGTCGGACTTAGGTAAGTTGCTTTAAATTGGCTATTTTGACATCAGGAATATGTGGTTGGATTTTGTACAGTCCTTTTAGGGACACCCTGTATAAAGGGTGTTCCGATATTCGACCGTCAACACTTGACAGGTGTTATCCCTCATGATAACGACATAGGTAACATATGGTCTTCATGTATTCAGTTCTCGAGGTACAAGGTGTTGAAGTTAAGAAATAAATATAGCTTTTTTCCATTAACTCAAAGCTGGTTGCATTTTTTTATTCAAATCTTGTATATGGTTTCATCTTAAAATAGGTGAATTTTTGACCCTGACCTTGGCCAGGAAATCTTTTCGTAGGGTTGTGGTCAATGATGGAATTTTGATTGAGTTAAGTTTCTCGAATTATTATTCCAATACTCATAACCTTCAACTGAGATAAAATGAACGGTTTTTGAGATTTTTGACTTAAAATAGAGGCTTGTATAGGCATTATTCATCTACTGTGTGGATGGAACATGTCTCCTCTATAAAACTAGCAAAAAGGTGACCATGTCCTGTTTCTGAGAATTTTTTAGATATATTATCATTTGTGAAAAATTTTCAACAGTAATTACACAAGTGGTGGTAATTTTTTGATAATTTTAACTAGATGCACGAATCTTTGTTGCTATAGAAATTTCACGAGTGGACGAAGTCCACGAGTGGGATTTCTCAATAGCAACAAAGACGAGTGCTAAATCTAGTTAAAATTATTTAAAAAAATAACCAACACGAATGTAATTCGGCGTGATTATTTTTTTTACTATTTCGCAAAATGCCCCAGAATATGTTTATTAAACAATTATTTATTGAACAATCATTTATCATACAATTATATATCAAACAATTATATATCAAACAATTATATATCAAACAATTATATATCAAATAATTATATATCAAACAATCAAGAATGTTTACAATTTACGTTTGTAATGGTGCAATTATTGTATGTTATTGTACAATTTCCTTGAGATGAAGAGGTCGAAACAGTGTTTCCTCTCAAGTTGTTTATCATGCTTGCGTGATGCTCTTTGTCAAGTTGAAGATAGGGTTTGATGGAGCTTGCAGATGAATGTCCAGTTATCTTCAACAACTGCTGCTCACTTACTCCACTTTTAGCGAGTTGTGTCACAGCAGAAGAACGATGTGAATGGTTTGTAACCTTGATTTTGCTAGGATCCAAGCCAATCTTTCGGGCCGCTTGTTTTGTCCATTTTGCTATTTCATTTTGTCCTACCGGAAGATTTTTGTACCACCCCTTAGACAAAGGTTGCTGCCAATTTGGATTAGGTGTTAAAAATAAACGATCAATTTGAATATTTGCACTTCTTTTCGACATTAACTTCCGAAAGAGACGTACTGGACATTTTTCAGTCTCATTTTCATTTGGCGTTAAAAATTTGCTATCAGATAACCTGTGCGATCCTCCTTGTGCTGTTTTAGAAATTATTGGATTATATTCTATCCTTCCAGTTTGATTTCCATAATGATCCATTTCTTCTCTAAAATACTGTACTAATGCTTTTGTCGCTTCTCCGCCTCTCCAAGCCAATTCGTAGCTAGCAGTATGATAAAACTTCCTTTGTAAGCCATTTGGAGTATTTTCGTCCCATGCTGCTATCATTTTTTCTATTTCTTCTTTCTTGAGAGCAACAGAAGATGCTTTTCTTTTTTCAGGAATATGTTGAAGTTCTCGACGTTTGCAATTCCGCGCATCTCGCGCGGTCTTAAATTCAATATCAGTGAACGGATCAATGTTTCTATTATACTCCCTGAAATATTTTTCCTGGATAAGTTTTGCGGTGACATTCCACAAAGTTTTGACAACAGATTCTTTGTAGTTTTCTCCATTTTTTTTTCGCATGTTATATGCCCAGTCCTCCATAATTGATGCGATTTGTTTCATCTCGGTTGTTGCAGTCAACTCATAATTACGTTCAAGGCAGAACTCCAAAAACTGTTTCCATATCGTATTCTTGCTTTTTGTGGTGTTGATTGGTGTTGCTTGTTCGACAGCTAAATGTATTGAATCAGCCGAGCTTTGACCAAATCTCGTGCTCATGTCGGTTTCTGTTAATGACTAATAATAATTGTAAAGTTTTTCCGAACCTATACCAACTCGTTTAAACGTTAGAGAAAATCACAAAATA